GTCAAACAGTATCGATCACAATTCTATAAACGCCTGATCGAGCTTTGAAAAGATAAGACGTACACTTATTAACACTCGTTTTGAATTTTGTCTCCTTGGGGAAACTAACACATGCACATAGCTGGCTCAATTTCATTGTTACTAGCTGTAGTCTTCTTATGTATTAAAAATTTCCTTGCGTCGTTTGAAATATTTAATTCACATATTCTTAAAAAAACAACACCGGTTTTACAAACCAATCGACTCTTCAAATCGTTCTTATGAACAATATTAAAAATCCTTCTTGTTGTATTTATTTTAAATGTTCATCGTATGAAGATTACGAAAAAATACGACAGATAATAGAAATGAGCAGGAATTAGGACATTTACCTGAACAGTAATTCCGTTTGAAAAGTTTGTCTTATCAAGTGGACGCAACGAAACCGGTACACGTATTTCGATCCCTGAGGAACGAACTTTAACTGGTTTTCAACTGGCCAGATTTAATTAAATTTTTTGAAACCATAACTCCGTGGACGAAGAAAGTTCGCCGCGAACCAATCGTACGTTAAACGAAACGTAATAAACGTTTGCGAAAATCGAAAAAATATATGAATAAGAAATCGTCTAACGAATAATCAGACAACGGCACCATACAACAATATTATTGTTCATCTTTGGCTCACAGCGTGTCGTCGAAAATCCGAATATTTTCTGACGACACGCTCGTATTATTCTATAATGTATGATCAAGATTTACCGCATAAGCAGAGGAGTAAAATACTGGCAAGGAAGATCCACCCCATAACGTCATCAACAAGTCGTTTCTACAAAGCTCATGTTACGTAGACTACCGCCCTTTCTGTTTGCTGATTTTCAACACGACACCAGTTTCACCGTCCGATTAACAATTTCTGAAACAATAAGACACGCACACGAACATGATGTGACTCGTATGCATCGTCGATAAGTCATTTTACTAACGACGTATCTTACGTCGCTCTCCTTGCATATACACCAATACCTCGCTTTGCGTCGTTTCGTTTTGCGTTTTTCGAAGTTGCGTCGCTACTTAATTAGTACTAATTTTCACTGTGCGTCGTTAGATTTTCGAGGTTGCGTTGTTTTCGGNTTTGTAAATTTGCTTTATCATATTGCTTTGAATTTTCTATATAATAAAAATTTGTACGATTTTCTGTAATTGATAATAAAATTCATCTAGCAAGAACGGAATCTAGGAGAATTGAATTTCGCACGCCGCGAGCATAATTATCTTTGCGCGGTGCGCGCACTGTCAGCCACCTCTTAATTGACGTTAACAGGTTTCCTTCCTGTATGAATATCATTTTTCTTCTCTTCCCGAAAGATCTGTATTATGCGATAAAGAATCTTTTTTCACGTGAACGTGACGTCACACGTTGCCGGGTATAACGACCCCTTCCATGGCTCATATATTATCATGTTATTATAATTGAACCGTGCTTTCGGCTCACTAATTGAGAGAGCGCATAATTAATAAAGGAAGGACCGTTTCAAATTGTTAAACCCCGACTATTTACTGAAAACCGTAAATAGTGTCCAGAATTAGCTGTTTCTTTTATTGATTAGTATATATAATTAATAGACTACGGATTTTTATAGACAATAAAACTGTTGGAGTAGCAATTTAAGGAATGAGATTTTAATTGATAGATGAATTGTTAAATATCATGGTAAGCATTCTGCTATAGATAGTTTATACATTTTTCTTTACCATATGAATCTTTTATTAATTTTGTTAAAAATGTATAAGATCCACAGTTTAGTAATTATAATTCAATTGCACTAATGAGTAACTTAATAATTATAGGAGCTCTGAATAGTAATTGTTTCGTATATTTATAACGTTGTTATGTTATGTTTGATAGAGAGCTTATCTATTCTTCTATTTCTGTAACATGTTTTCTCTATCATAAAAACATTCCTACATGGTCCTCGTGTAAAATAGTGACTCGTCTATAGACGCAGTAATAAATTGCAGACTTGTATACACACAGGGATTAGAAATAATCGTGGTAAAAGTAAGGAGATCTCGATCGAGATATAAAACGATACCGTAACGTATTTATAAACCTGAAACCGCGTTCATAAATTGCATACACATTGATGCCTGTACGTATCTCGGAATCGAGTAAATTGCCTTTTCCTTCGGGTAAGCCTCGCTTTCGAATTCAGAAAACCGCGGGTTTTACGGCGAGACATCGAAAGCAGGCCCGTAAAAACAAAATCAGTTTTTTTACCCGACAGACAGAGAGCAGCGAGCTTTTTTCTCGTCGTGCCAGAATCATTCGACACGCCTCCCCTTTTTTTTCTCCCTTTCCGATTTTTCTTCGTTCCGCTCCGTTGTCATCGGTCCGCAACTACTCTTTCGCTTTCTCGATCTCAGATTAAAATTGAATCCATCGAAACAGAAGTTGACAGAGTCATACGTTTGCCGTGATAAGAAAATTTAGATATTCATCTCTTCTATCATTAATTTGTACAAGCAATTATGTATAATTCTCAATATTATTGATAAGCTGGATTATCGTTTATCTCATTCATTTCTTATTACATTCGACTTGGTTTTTTCATTTTTCCACCGAGAGTTTCTTGCGCTATTAAACTTGTACAAGGGATCGGCGAACGATCCGAGGTTTTATCGATTCTCAGCAATAAGCCAAGTGTGTCGAACGATTCGGTTCAGAAGAAAGTACCGTAATTGCGATCGCGTTCGCGCTTTATCCAGCTCGGGAAAGAAAATGGTTCGAGAAAAAAAAAAATGGTCGAAGAGACCAATCGCGTTTCGGCTATGACTCATTGCCAATCATCTTTACGACGCTAATTTCACCTGACCAGAGACTTCGTTTTTCATAAATCAGAGTAAATCGTTCGAATGTATTACGAAACCCTTGAAACACAAGTCGAATTCGTTGAATTTGATAAAAATTATGTAATGATATATTAGAGAGTAGTTAAATAAATTAATAAGCACATGGGGTCAAGCAGTATAAAGTAGAACAATGTTTTAGAATCATCCTCGTGCAAATATTTAGCGAGATTTTTTACATTACTCTCGCGTTTATCAGACCATTTGGAATCAGTCGTGCAAACAAGCTAATCGATACGAATGTTGCCCACTCAAGACATTTTCAATTAAATTCTATCGAACGATAAACTTCTTTACAATTGAAACGATCATCAGAGGCTGCGTAAAAATGAACTTGACCAGTGAAAGATTGTAAGATAACTCGAGTATCAATTTTATTCTACTGATTAAAAATTTTACCGGCGCCGTTGGTTTGGTGATTCACTCGGTACAAAGTTTCCTAGACCGAAAAAACTCGATAAGAACCGTTCGTCCTCGATACGATTAAAGGAGGTTAAAAAGACTACTCTTTTTCCATCGATTGCCTGCCTCCGCCAGCCGGTAAGTTCTTTGCGGATCGGAGATTAAAATATTTGCCGTGCGATAAAAGGAATTCCAGTCTTTGCTCGGGCGTCTTGCACCTGATCTCGTTTCTCCTCTCGTTACTCAATCAGATTTTAATCACTACAGATTTGATGCACTCGTAGAAAAATTCTGTGTCATAAAATCATTTAGTATGAGATATTGGAAGCGTGTCACATTTCTTAAATGATTTATGTCGCATGAAAATTCGGAGCAGCAATTTGCTCTAATTCTTAAATGGACTGGATCACGTCAAAAATCATATGTCTCGGCCTGAATTTTTTGGAACGAGACTGGAGTTTGAAATTTTTTTGTCGTCTGGATCGAATCTTGGAGCGTGGCATCGGCGATCACAAAAGCGAGAGGGGTTGACGGGGTAGGTAGGAAAAGGGGAGAGAAACTAAAAAAGGCTTTGCACGGGCTGCATGCTATCACACCACCTGGATCGCATTGTTCTCCCGGATGCATTCATCAAATAAATTGCTTTCATCGGGCCAAGTGTCGGGTTAGCCTCTCGATTCGCGCGATTGTTACTTTGTTCTGGTCAGAGAAGGATATAGAAAAAAAAAATATATATATAGTGAGAGAGAGGGTAACCGATTAGAGACAGTAACGGTGGAAATTTTGGTGTAACAGTTTCGAAGGTGAAAGCGTCACGTTTTTTTCTCTCTTTTTCGAAGGGTGAATCGTACCGCTGGAAACTGTAGGGGTGAAAAGCTTCGCGTCATCGGGTACGTGTGTACGTGTACGCGTAGCCACTCGCAAGATGGTTCCTTCGGCTCGGAAAAAAAGGGAGCATTACCGTTGCTTATCCCTGTCCTGACCTATGGTTTCCATGGTGACGCACAGCCAATCCCACCCTTTACATTTAGGGGAGTACTCCGAGGACCACGGGAAATTTCATTTCTCTCTGATCAACGGACAAAAAAAATATAGCTAACTGCGCTCCTTTTTTTTCGCCACCGGTATCCGGGTAATTTTCCGTGAGCTCGATCGGGCCCCGTTCTTTTGTAGTTTTTAAAATCCCGGTGAAAGGGGAACTGCGGGATGGAATTCCGAAAAGGCTTCGTATTTCACTTTTTCCCTATCTGTACGATCTGATTGAAAATCCGCAGCCAATATCATTTCAGATTTCTAGTTGATCCAGCTGCGAAAATTATTGCCAGGAGAATCTCGAACGAACTACTAGATTCGATAAAGTTTCTAACTAAGCAGGCAAACGTTGAGTCTCGGAATTCATTCGCAACCCTTTGGTACCAGTAAATCTCATTCGTGGTTTCTTCGCACTACTTATGCTCGATCAGACCGGTTCGACTTCGCACTTTTACGTGTTTGCGCACCTACACAGACCTCGCATCGACTCGTATCGAAGTTCTGGTGAGAATTGGCCTTCACACGTCACCGACGATGAGGTTTCCTGACGAAACCGTGAGGAGCTCTCCTCGTCCTTGAATCACTCCTTTATTACTCGTAGCTGACGGGTTCATTGAGTCTCGGGATTGGATACTTTCTCGAGTATTTTGATTGAGTTTCGAGTATCCTCGACGTAAGCCCATTTATTATCTCGCCGGACGGATCCTCGATTCTTCAAACTTTTTAATTATTAATTAAAATATCTCCGTCTTCGATCGATCATCGATCGAAATTCACATTCGCAGATGTATTTTTTTACCGGGGTTATCGAACTTCCTAGTCACTGTGTACATTATACAGATGTTTTAGCTGCTGTATATCGAGCGGTCCGGGAATCACATTAGAGGGAACGGGGCGAAGACTGGGACGCGAGGGTTACCGGATTATTCTCTACCCAACGGGTGTAATTGAATTTTAAACTCCCCGACCCTGCTGCATATGCGCCCATTCATGGGCCACGTAGCTTCGTAGAAGTTCGCGGATTTCATACGTGAGAGAATCAATTGAAACAGAGAATGCACACTGTCTCTTTCAATGTCCGTCAATCGCGTTCCACGAAAAAATAAAACGCAACGATTTCGACTGCTCAGCAAGAAGACAAAAGAACAGCAGAAAGTGTCGAGTCGCGTTACCGCGAATTTTGTTTCAAAATTAAACACTTGCTGGTCTTATCAAAAAATGTATGCTCAAATAATACTCGATCGGTGTTCCTAATAAACTTGATCGAGCGGATTCACGATTTCTACCTGAGGTGTTACGAAACATCGGCCTCAGCTTCTAGACTCTAAGCCTTTGAAAATGAGTCTGTCCCACGATCTTGAAAGTTTCCTGCCGCGGATCGAGTGTCTGTACGTGAGATGCTGCCGAGAGCAAACAAAGCTGAACAGTATACAGGGTAAGCCTGGGACAGAGGCTGTTTCGATCGAGCTAAAAAAAATACGGATTCAAACGGTCGGGAAATTTTTAATCGGTGAAGTGCACGGTTTTTTTTTTAGAGAGACAGGACCGAGAGTGATTTTCCTGGTTCA